TCCTGTCCCCTCTCCCCAGCTCTCCTTCATTCGCTCTCTGTGTCTCAGATCAATGGCAGGGGGAGTCAGGCTCACAGTCAGGGTCCTTCTCCTCTACCTGCTCCTCCCTGGATGTCCCAGCACTGATAAATCGAAGAAAAAGAACTCTCACAAGTCTCTCACTGGGAGTGGGGGTTTCCTGGATGCTCTGCCAGGCCAAACAGCTTCAAGGGAAGGCAGAGGAAAGCAAACATAAACATGCCAATGAAGGTCTACTGGGAACTCCCATAAGTCAAAGGATTTAAATGAAGTGCTATACACAGCTCCTTCCAATAAACTGCCCTGCAGCAAAATCTTTTAGTCGCCCAAAGGGTTCCAGATACTTCTTTAAATTGGTTAATTGGTACGTTATTGACAACATTTTAAAGTGTTAAAATATATGTGTGTGTGTGTGTGTGTGTGTGTGTGTGTATATATATGTGTATATATATATATATATATATATATATATAATATAAATAATCACATGTAGGACTTTTCTGACTTTCCTTCCTTTCCCCACTAAACACTACTATTTTTGTTATTCAGTTTAAGCGTGATGTGTGTTGGGGCTTTCGCCCATCAGTTCCCTCGGACTAAATGCAATATGTAAATGTTTCAGGTTGGTGGAAAATATTTTTTTAATCCAAAGGCCCTAAAGTACTTGTCATAAAAATCTTTGGCAGAAAGTTACTTTGTTCAAAGCTTTTTTTCCCCCTTCCTTCTTCCTTTCTTATTTTTCTTTCTTGTTTTTCTTATTTTGATTCTATTCTGACCAACCCAGTCTCACTCTCAAGTTGTCAAATATAGCCACTTGGTCAGTAGCCCTCCGCTTCAAAATATGACACTGTATCCCTCTAGTGTAATTTCTGGATGTGCCTGTCATCGATGTCAAGTGATGTAGTATATAAATAGCGAGAGAGTCTGTATGTTGACGTGGTGGGGTGGATGGATGGCTCAAACAAACATAGAACTTTAAGTCAGGAGACCACTGTTGATGTCCTGTGTGAAACCAAAAGTAAACAATTTCTTTAAAGTAATGTACCTTATTTAACTTACCTAAAGTATGTCAGGTACATAATGGAACCTATGAACATTTCCTAAACCTAAGAAAGTAGTTTTTGTGCCTTAACCTAACCAAACTACGACTTTTTTCACAACTTTATCTATGCAAGTTTTATTTTGAAAGTCTAACTGGACTTTGCATGTTTATTATTGCTAACTTGACTGAAAGTTGAACACATTACATATTAATTATTGCCAACTTCACCACAGAGCCCTGCATGTCCAGAAATAATGTGAGAGAGGCACCTACAGCAGAGGGCCATTGACCAAGCGACCATATTTGACAAGCTGGGAGTAAGAACGTGTTGTTCTGACCCTCAATTCTCTGGCATCCTAAATGGCTGTCTCTGCGGACCTAATCAGCTCAGCTCTTAATTCAAAAACTTGATTATTCACCCCCGATTTATCAAAGCCAACAGGGAAATGAAAATGGAAACCATGATTTGTAACAAGGCAGCAGCTTCCAGCACAGCGCTACTCAGCTCTGATGCTCAGTGAGCCATGGACCAAAGTTCTCTGTGTCTTCCTCCAGCGGTCCCTCCACATTAGATCATTAATCACAGAGCGGCATGGAAAGTAAAGAGTGCAGAACCGGGATGGAGGCCTGGGGTCAGTCAATGGTGGCCTCTCCAGACCATAAGTCCCTGGCTGGTGTCATTATTCTGACATTGTTGTGAAGGTGAGAGCTTTTGATGCTATTGATTTGGGAGGAGGGCAAAGGAGAGATCGATGCACTTGCTGATTCAGTGGCGTAGCAAACTCCGGTCAGTTGTACAGCCTGCTTTTGTCCATTTGTGTGTTAATGAAAGTATGTAAGTGTACAGTATGTGACAATACCAGTCCGCATGTGTCTCCCTGGTGCAGTTAAGAAATTACATATATGTGACACTTAATCAACACAGTGCGTTTCTTTTTCCCAGAGGGAGAATGCAAACACTCCTAAACATCAGCTTTACGCTTACAAAGATACCAGCACTTGCAAGAATAACTTATAGTCTCATAGTCAATGCAACTACATAAGATACAACCTAATACGAAATGTAATCCATATGTTCACACACACAATCATGCACATTCACTGGCAACTGTAGCTATAATCTTCTCTGTATTCCCCCCGTGAAGCTCTGATCCTTTGTGCTCTCAGTCAAAGCCCTATGTTTGAAGCTATGTTCAAAGACTGCCTACCTGCTCAGCCCAGCCAGATCCAGACGAAAACCCCAGTGTTCCCCGTGCGCTGAGAGGGTTTCTTCTGCGGTGTTGTCACAGACAGGCGAAAGGTGGGGGAGTATCAGGAAATCACCTCATCACAGGACATTAGAAGGAGGGAAAGAGGGGTTGGTTTTGGATCATGGAGAGGCAGAGGTTAATTAGATATTACAACATATTACAACAAGGAATCATGTTAGAGAATATCAACACTCTTCTGGCCTGATATTTCTCAGGTGGGTTGGTGAGAAATATAATTTCAGTATTTTCTTTTTTTAGGCCTCTCCTAGACACAACTTGCCTGCTATTGGTTTACTATTGGTGACTAAACATGACACCAAAATGATGATAATTTATCCACAAAAAGACAAATAATCATTAATGTGGGCCACTTTAATGTGTTGCTGGTACATTTTGTGATTTAAGCTTGTAAGTTGAATGTATTTTGCCATGACCATACGATTTGTATGCATGGGGTAGAAAAGAAGCTTATGTCTTATGTCATTTTGTATTATGTACTGAACTTCCTTGTGAGAGTTCATTTCAATCCGTACACAAAGTGGTTGTAAAATCATAATGTGCCGTCTTCCTGTGCACATTTCCCTCTCGCTAATGCACCCTCTGCTCACAAAAACACAGGCATTGGAGGAAGATGGATAGCGAGACAAATAATCCAGTTAACTTTTCACGTGTTTGCAGGCAGATATTTTCTCTTTAATGTGTTTATCATGACTTATGAGCTCTTCTATAGCAGCCATTAACATATGATTACCATCACAGGGCTAATGGGTTTGTCTGTGGTTCCCCCTCCTGCTCAACTGCCTTTCCTAAATCTTTCTTCATCTTTTATCTTCCTCTTTTTAGCATTTGCTTCCTTCCTATCTCTCTCTGTCTTGCTCTCCATCATTCTGTCTTTGTCTCCCTCTCTCTTTCTCTCTCTTTCACCTCCTCTCCTCTGTGTTTCTCCACTCTCGGCCCCCGCGGTCCCTTAACTCCCAAGCCTGTGCCTCACTCCCACACACTGCTCTCCATTATTGCTTAATTATCAGTGGTCTGTCATTTGAATAATGTGCTATCCCTGATTCTTGATCTTTTTCACTTTTTCCCTTCATCTTTCACATGTTCTTTTCTATTTACTTCTTCTTCCTTTCTCCTTTTCTGTCTCCCACTGTTGCTTCCCCTCCTCCATCTCGCTCTTGCCTTCTTGACGTTTCGGTGGCGTCAGAAGACTTGTCTCTGCTTTCCTAAGTTTCACCGCCTCCTCAAAGCCCATTGACTTTCCCCCTTCTGCTGGTTTATATAGAAATCAAACTATGTGAGAGACAGTGGGAGACTGAGCCAGAAGCCCACATAAGTCTGGTGCATGTCAGCCAGCCAGTTTTATGCAGGACATTTCTTGTCTCAATCGACGTGCTTCTTATAGTAACTGCACCATTTCTGTCTGAGGCACATTATAGTAACACTTATTAACTTAATTCCACTATCTTCATCTCTGCTAGCACGACAGTGGCAAGAAATAAAAGCCCTCACATTATTCCATTCCGATGTTTCTGTAAATTCTGTGTGCCAGCCCGTTAGAGAGCTCAAACTCTGTAGTTTACAAAGTTAAAAATCATCTTCTGTCGTCTCCAAATCCCAGCAGCATCATGGGGCCATCGGGGAAATCAATAATAGCGAGACGACATTTGTTTGTGTATGGGTGTGCGTTTGTTTCAGTTTGTAAGTGATCTATCTGATGCAAACATCTTTCTAATGTGTGTGCAGCTCTGTGGTCCCTGGCAGAAAATGGATTGGAGCTGTCGTCATGGCTCAGCTGTATCGAATAGACACAAACACTCCACTTTGTTCCACTGTAACTGTACACTCATTGGGGTATCCCTGCTTGTTTTTCTACATTGTTTGTGGCTGATCGTTTAACTAAAGACACCTGGGGACATAAACTGTGGCAAAGCAGGGGAGATGCTTTTGTGGTTCTGTAGCAAATCACAGGATTTATAATGTGTGGGTTTTGATTTCAGCACTAATGTCGGTGCAGAAGGTTTGTGTGAATCCCAATGGAACTGACTGGTATCAAATACTTAAATCTCTCCTCATGCATCAGTGTGTTTGCTATATGAAGTAAAGGGTAATGTTTTCAGCTAGGTTGTTGAAATGTGACATGCTGATTTACTCCCCTGCAGTTTGGTGTGCTTCATTCTTATCATTTTTGAGCCCTGGTCAATAATGTGTCTCAATCAACAACTGACCTTTGGCTTTGTAATGCTCCTGTGTCTTACTGCTACCTTTTATTGTCTGAGCTAACGCAACACAACTGCATCACAGCAGTTTAGTACATTATAGGAATCAATAACACAAATGGCCCACTCACTTACTGCCTTTATGACTCAAATAAACCCCAGAGGGCAGTTTATTTAAGGAACATTCTACACTTCAGAAGTCATTATCAGCATTCAGTACATGAGGTCACAAGCAATTTTACATCAGTCTGGTCAATGCACAAAAAACCCCTTTTTTTTCACACATAACTTTAATTCGACACAATGTGCTCACTAGGAACACATTATGCACTGTACATTCTATACAGTTTGTGTATCAGTTGCTTTCTCTGTGTCTTCTGAACATGATCTGTCCTGCTACTAATCTCTACCGCAAGAAGAAGTGTTTGACCCATTTGTCCTAATAAAGTGTGTTTTTTCTGTTTGTTTTTGCAGGGTTGGTCAAGCTCGGAGTCCACTGTGTAACATGCCAGAAAGTCGCCATAAAGATTGTCAACCGTGAGAAGCTCAGTGAGTCAGTACTAATGAAGGTACGTTTACAGCTTCCAGTCCTTTCACTGACTTCAAGATTTACATTTTGCTGAAGCTCGTTTTCTCTCCTCTAACCCTTTTTTTCCCTCTTCTGAAGACAATTTCTGTTGTTTGTTTTTTTTACTTTTTTTACTTGGGAAAAAGTCCTTTTCAAAGGGGCCTTTATGTTGTAGTTAGTTGACCTGGGTATCCATATGTGAGAAATTATTTTTCTAGTCTTAAACAACCACATTGTCCCTGTCTGACTGGTGATCTCTGTTAAACATCGTCCCTCTCGCTCTCCCCAAAATCTGAATATGCAGCAGCCAGATCGACCAAAGCAACACTAAGAGTTGGACTGTGACTGAGTAGTGATGTCCCTGAAAGAGCCACCTCTTTGATGCATAAAATATGGGCTGACTGCCAGCTAGCATTTTAAAAAAATCTAAATTAGAAAGAGAGGAATGCTTGAGTAGATTTTACATTTCTACATAAATCAATGGCTGATCTTGCAAAAATGTTTGAATATGAGTGATTTATATCATAATAAGCCTTTAGAAGCGTGGAATCGCTGGCTGAGTTAGTGACAGTGGGGCTTTGAAGCGGATGATTTTCATCCTTTTCAAATGTTGAACTGAAGGAGTCAGCTGTTTGGCTCCCCTGCCAGGAGTCAGAGCCTCCAAGAGATGTTGGGGTAACACAACAATAAAGCAGGTTTATGCAACTATAATTACTATACCCTCACTCCAAAACACTTCAAAATCTTCTGGGTGAAACGTTCCTATTTATAATTTTGCGGTTATCCACACAGCCTGTTTTGGATACGGTAGGGATGTTTTTTCTTATTACGTCCCTGGGCTCCTGCTGGGCAGCTCTATTCAGTGCCTGCTCAATATTGGCATACTGCAAAATTGGCCCTTGTGTTGATGGAATAGTTGTAAAGAAAGCAAAGAGAGCAGGAAGATAGAGGACAACAAGACGGCACAACCTGAAAATTGTCTTTCACAGGACACACGCTGAGAGCAGCTCCTACTGTAATTGTTTGCTTATGAGATGGAAAGCAGGATACAGGTGCGTTTGCTCACAGCACAGGTTATCTGCAAATGGAAAATCCCTCTGTTTTGCATCACTTCTACAGCAGCATCATCATTAGACTTTAGATGAAAAGCTTTTGGTGCTCGGATATTGCTTTTTGATAAACAGTCGGTATTAATCAGCCTCTTGCTGTGTCAGTGTCTCCCTGACTTTTTTTCACTCATTGCTGTCTTGCTCTGGAAGTCGCTCTCTTTCTATCTCTTATTCGGCTACACAGACAGTCTAATATTTTCATGAGGAAAAGACAGGTCATTTCTGTCGCCTCAGCACTGACAGAAGTATTATTAGTTGTAGCAGAAGTAGCTGCTGGAACTGTAACAAGTGACAGCAGAGGGGAAGGTAGCAGCATAATGTCCCAACCCAGGTGTTTCACATTGGGCTGTCCTGCTGAGAAAAATGATAGTAACAGATGCCAAACACTGACAGGTTTCCAACAGGACCAAGGCTTTTGCTGAAGCTGCAGTTCAGAGCCAATTACTGAACTCAGCCATTGTCACACTTCTCTCAACTGCTGGCCCCTGGCGTGTGTATGTTTGTGTGTGTGTGTGTGCCAGCAGGTGTGTGTTCGTGTATGTGGCAGTAGGGATTGAATTATATACGGAAGCCAGGGGCAACTAAGTCCTTCTCGAAGACACAATTTTGATTTTTTTCTTGTAAGTTTGGGAGTGGATGACAGAAAATCATAATCGATCCCCATTTTTTCATGCGTTTCAAGTCTTTCGAACTGAATGCAGCAGTTAGATTTCTTTTAATTTAGTGAATCAGGTGATTTCAGTTTTGGATTACGTGCACAATTCACTGTATGTTTGTCTGCCTGTCTGTGCTTGTTTTAGGTTTTGTTGGTGTACATTGTTGTATTGTATGCTTGTACGTGTGTGTTTTTACTGTTTGTCATCCCCATGCAACACAGAAATATATATTGTAAACATGCAGTTTTGTTTTTGTTAAAGCATTTCTTGGTGGTTATGTTCAGGGAGTGCATTGATTTGTTTATTGGCTTCTGATATAAAGCAGCTCTGTGGCCTCAATTATAATTCAAAGCCTCTGTGCCAATTTACTTTGAGTAAATTATTAGGCATGACCCATTAGACCACACTGTTGGTGAGGTCATGTGTAAAGGTCCCTATAGTCTCAGGACACACAACATTGGTCTGTGGCTGGACAGGTGTTTCCTGACTAAAATCCAGCCACTTTCCCATATTCCTATTGTGTTGCACTTCACAATCTGATGTGTCTGTTCTCCGGCCTGCCTGTGTGGCTGTCAGACTGTCAGAGTGATCGGGCTGCACTCTACTGCAAGGCTCAGACTGTGAAATGTCACCTTTTAATATGCTAATGTCTTGGGTCCCCATGGTGCCATTAGGGCAGAATCTGACTCTCCTGGACAGGTGTGTGTGTGTGTGTTTGTGTGTGTGTGTGTGTGTGTGTGTGCAACACCACTGATGACACACATAGATACATGCATACACACACTAATACACGCATAAAGGCCATACACACACACACATAAGAATGTGCGAACATGTGTCATACAGACACACAGGCATATTCATCCGTATGTGCACGAGCACATCCTCCATGACGCACATCATCCCTCTACGTTTGTCCTTCCCCCAAATGGCCTTGGGAGTCAGGGGTCTGTGGAGATGAGGAGATGGGTTGAATTAATTGTCTCAGAATGTCTGGCAGAGAGGTCTTTTCTCTACTCACTGTATGTTGAACTTTGTATAACTAATGTTGAACTGTTTAGTCCAGAGCCCCACAGGCTATGACACTGTGTGGACCAGAAAGACATTGAATTGTCTTGGATAATGAATTCGTCTATGAACTTCTTGTCAGTTTGTTACCAGGGAATGAGCCTTGACTTCTTCAAAGAGCAAGTGCAGCCCAGTATTTCTTTTTCACTTCTAAGCAGAAAACCTAACAATGGAGTTAGCTGAATAGTAATAAGAGTCACCGTCACTAGGAAATGCCTGCCTGTCATGTTTCAAATGATGAGAGAGAAACAGACAGAAAGAGAATACATAGTATGTGCACATATGACAGAATGTCAGCAGTCATTGGCACTGAGGCCAAACAGAATGGAGAGTGGCGATCCGATACAAAGAACCAACACTGTATGTGAGCGTGTGTGTATCTCGAGGGAGTAGTTAATGTTTCTGAAACTCAGCCAGCCCTCTCTGTCTCTCTCTTGCTGCCATGTCTCTGCGCTGTGGTGCTGTGGGGTTGAGAGAGAGCACGAGGAAGGGCAAAAGAGAGCAAGGCTCAGGAGAGAGAGATGGACATGCTGTGAGAAACCCTGCTGAGACAAGATAACACAAACGCCTTAGTAGGTACACCACGTCTCTACTCACATTTCCTGTCAGGAGAAAATGTGAGGGGGTTATATATACGATGGAGCGGCTTATACTAAATAATAAACAATAAATAAATTCAAATGAAAGAGGAATATAAAAGTGTTTTTCTACAAAACCCTTTTATTCATTGGACAAAACAGAAGCCAAATTTCTAAATGTTAAGGGTCCAAACCTCACAAGATCTTTGCTTTAATTAACTAGAACTAAAACCGACACATTTGTTATTTAAATCAGGAACAATTTCATCAATCAAAGCAATATTACAAATCTGACCCAAAAAAGCAACCTAATATGTCTCACCTTTGTGGTACAGTCTGAATTGTTAATTTAGTTGAAGTGCTTCTATGATTTTGTCTTTTTCCCCTGCAAATTCCACTGTGCATTGGAAAACCACGAGTCGTTTGTTGCAGTGCTTCCAAGCACCTGCTGTAAAAATGATGTTCATATTGATGACGATGTCATTGTCGAATAATTGGACATTGAGTAGAATCTTGCCACTGCAGTCAACTACAGTCCAAGAAGATTTTCCTGAGAGCAGAGGATTCACTGTACCATATTTCATACCATATTACCTATGGTTATGCTGAGTGGAGCAACTTCTCTAATCCGCAGTTTAGTCTCGGGGTGAGTTAAATTGTTGCTAGCCCCCAGCACTAACAACTAGCAGAGGGAGTAGGGTATCTTTAGCATGCAGCAGTTGGTAGTTGCTGTTGATGCCTGCTCTGTTTCTCCCTCTGAGCCAGTGAGCTGGTGGCGGCTGCTGCTGTTGGGATAAGGACAACTAATTAGCCAGAGTGACTCTCTCTCCTCCTGAAGCAGCACAACTTCAAAGTCACTCTACTGTCCCCAAGCCCAGAGAGAGAAAGGAAGAGAGGGAGAGGATGGAGGAAAGGAGATAGAGGGGAGGGAAGTGTGTGTGTGTGTGTGTGTGTGTGTGTGTGTGTGTGTGTGTGTGTGTGTGTGTGTGTGTGTGTGCGTGTGCGTGCACGCGTGTGCGCGTGTGTGCATGCATGTGCGTGTGTAGGGAGGGTTAAAAAGGATGGTGAACATGAAGTTAGAATACTTTGGATGGCTGTCTTGTGAAGTTGATATCTCTACATAGCTGCACTGTTTTTGATGTTTTTTTAGCGTGGTGAGGTTACTTGTGGTTTGCTGACTCTGTCCTTGATGTCAGTCATAACATTTCAGATGAGAAATGTGTGTGAGAGAGAAAGGAGAGAGTTTGGAGATGGAGAAGCCTGTAGTATAATTGCCCCCTGAAGCAAATAATTGAAGCCCTATGCTAAGGACATCGAATGTAACAGCCAAGAACAAGCCAGCGCCACAGCCTGTGTAGACAGTTGCATTACCTAAGATGGCCTGAATATACAAGGATCAGTACTGTTTGAATATGTGTTTTGCTGTCCATAAATTACATTTTACCTCATCAATGCAACATATAACATATTATTTGTATAACCTAAAGCTGCACATCTGTGTTTGTAGTCTGAACAACAAAACATGAGGGAAAGTTTCTTTCAGGATGACGCAGTGGTATCCAAGTTTTAAATGCACTGTATCTAAAATAA